GATTAATAAGAACTATGAAATGTCCAATTCGGATTGGAAGCTCAATCATTCAGTTATCTTCCATTTCGGTATCAATATTTACAAAAACTCACAGAAGCACCATTGACTTTGTAACCTTGAATTCCCGTCGGACAAACAATAAAAACAAAAGAAAATTGCAGGTAGCGTTTGGGTAAATGTTCAAAAATGCTATCACATCGATGAAGCTTACGATGCTTCAGCAAACTTCATATTTATGCGACTGGAATTCTTATTTTCATTCGCCCCGACCTCAGCTGAGTCTCTCGTTTGTGTATTCGTCCCCAATAATTCTGCCGTGTGACGCTATTTTTTATGCCTCGGCCTTAAGCATGATGAAATGTTTTAACTTCCTTGAACCTAGAAGACAGCATTTTGCTCAACGTTTTTCATCTCCTTGTTAATGTACAGATTATTGGACGTTCTAAACCAGCAGCATCAGGCAAACTTGGAAGCGCTGCCTCCGTATGAACGAGCGGATTACTGGTGGCTGACGGATTCCATTCCACTCGAACCGGTTCAACAGCGACAACATAATGATTTGCAAATACCTCAGACGGTTTTTCAATTAAAACCTCCTCTAAAGCTCTATGTCCATGGCTTCAGCGCCGCCATTACCGCAAAAATCTTGAGGACATATTTTTCATACTTTGGTGAGGTGCTGGATGTGGATATATCTGTGGATGCTTCAACAAACGGCTCCAGTGGACGTGGCTTCATAACACTACGACCAAATATCGATCCCAGCCATCTCCTCAGAACACAGCATACTATACGGGGAGTGCCTGTCAACGTTGAAAATCCTTATTCGTCTGATGTTTCAGAACATTCATCAGTATTGTAAGTGTCTGGAGATATTGTTTACTTGTTTGTAGGCCGTAGCTGTTATTGCATTCGGTGTTCGGAAGAAAATCCTCATCACTGACAATGATAACGGTAATGTAGCAGTGGTTCACCGGTTGGCCAAATTGGTGTTTCATGTCCAATGCACACTATCACTTGGCCATAACTGAGCCTTTAAGATTGAGGATTTTTTCCGTTAGTTTTCAGAACTTTACTCAGGTGGAATTTGGGAAGTTTATCGCCTACCGTCTCCTGCAAATAAATTCGACAGACATTCCTTAGTTTTCTTACCAGACACCCCGAAGATATA